TATGGATTAAGAATTGTGGAAGAAAGGACTTTGGAATCGACAGGATTTCAAGGAATACCTACGTCTGTTCAAAACATTTTGTAGGTGAAAAGGGTCCAACAAACGATCATCCACATCCTGTACCCGCTGCTGCAAGCGACTTGGAGAGAAGGATTGCGACTAAGGTCGTCCGCCCGCCACCCCGGGACCGTTCGGCCAGTTTACCGCCATGCAAAAAGCAAAAACAAAACGACGTCGAATGCAACGACCAAGAATTAGACCCTCATCAGGATCCTGTTGAATATGCTTTTACAGATCAAGGTAAGTTGATGTCATAATTATAATTTTTTTTAGCGTGAAATCCGAGCATGGAATGTGTGAAGAAATTATGATAGTAAATCATTGTTGCAGCCCCACATCGCTAGCAATGGCTTTGTATGTGTATAGCGTAGCGGGCATGGAAAAACAATGTGGCGACCGTGCCGCACCACGCAAAGCTTGCCCTACGTAGTAACAATCGCTAGGGTGCGAGGGATTATGACGTCACTCGCATATCATTAGTAAACAGGCCTATTGACTACGATTTTCATGGATAACTGTACAATATGCATACAATACTCAACAATACAATATATATATATAATTTCAATTCATAACATAAGCTCCAATGGTAGACAAAATATTTAAAACGATGTCCTTATAAATCGTAAATGTTTCATAAACAATACAAATGACCTGTATCGACGAATAATATACAGCATGAGCTATTAACACTGATAATTTCCAATATGTCTTACAAATGTCATATTTCCAATACACCTATACAACGACGCTATTAAACAGGCTACGTTGCATAAACTCTCATGTATGCGTTTATTTGTTAACTATTTAATTATTGGTTTGAGTGCTTCTCACCTCTTCATGGCTGGGGTAATGGCTTATTTTCTACATCGTCCTTTTACGAGCATTAACATAAACAGCAAAAGAAACGGATCTCTAAAAGTCTGTTCCTGTTATTCTCCAATAGCAACATTAGACCGTTTAATAGTTACAAGCATACTTTAATAAAGATTCCAAAATGTGTTATCCATAAATTAATTTTTATTAAAAGACATTGTTTCATTAAATACAATTAAAACAAATGTGCAATAAATGGACAATATGAGCAAGCACGTCGGTGTGAATGTCAAAGATAACTTTATAATGTGCAAAATCAAAGCATTTAATCCCCCCCCCCCGAATACAAAAGAGGTTGGCCATTTTAATAACTTGCATGTATTTACAATATGATAAGGCCACTCATTTATAAGATAAAGAACGCAGTCCATAGGACATTCTTAGCCTTACAAAAAATCAATGAATTGAGGATAACTATAAAGTATTAAAAGTGTATGATTTTTCTTATGTATGATAAAATGCAAACCAAATATTGTAAGTCCACAATGAGTTTCATTATAAAGCCATGGCATTTAAACTGCGACTGACATAGATATTTGAAATTGGTGCACTTAAATTCCAGATAGATGACACAACAAATATTCAAAAGATGATAGCAGGATCAAAGTTTTGGCACATTATCTATGCTAAGCCGTATAGACTGTATATATATTACACGATAAACAGGATAGGGAAAACAACACCTGGGTTCGTTACCGTATGCTAGATAACCGATTCAAAATAAAGATATTCATGTAATGCAATGCAATCCAGAGAATAACATAACTGAGTAACATATTCGGGTCAGCTCTAAGCCGTAGGTGGCAAGGAGAATGTAAAAGAAGGAGAATGTAAAAGAAGGAGGATTTCAATCTGCCTTTGACGGACTCACATTAATCAAATTATATATATTTTCTATTTACAAAGATAATATAAAAAGACTTGCTACTTGTACGTGATTAAAGTGTTCCTCTTTTCGTTTTACAACTTATTCAAACTCTGGGAATCAAATATTCTTAGATTATGATATGATATTCTTAGATTATAATGTGATATGTGATATACACTACGCATAACTCAATACGGTAAGTTGTTTAATATATTACATCATATTCTGCAACGAAGCACAATTTCTCTATCATGCGTGGCTTGTGTTGGAAATGGCCTTTCATAACATAATACACGCATTAATATCAATACATACAAGCCTTTCTGTAGTACGTTTATATCAATGTTAACTACATTAGGAAGTGTAAACATACATTTAATATATTTGGAAGTTAATTAATCAAGCAACAATTCTTTTCTATTGAACATGATTTTCAATAGCGATGTTGAAGAAACTATGTAGTAAACAAGAGAATCAAACATTCTGTTCATTAAATATAAATTAATGAAATTCGAATTTGAATGAAAATATATTTCTTCATGTATTTGTTAGCTTTATACTTTTTTTGAGACAAGAAAGTGTAATGACGTGTGGATATTATGTCTTAATACATTGTAAAAACGTAAAAAAGGAGGTATACGGACAGGTAACTGAAGTGCCACAGAGAAGGAGGCTTGAATTGCCTACAAGCCCCTGACCCTGTATGAGATTCTACTTGGGGTGTGGGAGTGGTAACCGTAGGTACAGTATTAACAATCTGTCTCGTAGTTTCTTTGATATGTGGCCACACGAAGTCATTGCACGTTGTTTCACTTACATTTAAAGATACATCATGTGAGCAACACGAGAAATGAGTGATATGGGGTAGCCAGAATATACGTCTGATAACATGGCCATTATTTGTAACATTACCCCTGATGTCAATCATCTTATCATTCTGGTAACATGATAGTGTGGGTTTAACACTTCCAATGGTGGCTTGACAGTGTACTTCATAGGGAGAGTCACCATTTGCACTTAAAGTGATGTAGCATTTTGCTCGTCCGGGTGGGATCCGTACAACAATCTCCTTCATAGCTTCATACCTAACGTTCTCAAAACTACGCCAGACTGCCGTTAATAAATACACACCCTCGTCCAAAGTATCAACGTTATCAATAACCAGATTCACGCACTGAGAAGTGTCTAAATCTGTGACTGAGGTGGTAAATCTTGATAACTGGGAGGGGCTTTTAAAACCCACGATATCAGCTTTTCCATTATTAGAGAATGGACGAGGCTTTGATTTAAATTGAAGTGTGTAAAATGAAACACCCTGAGATGTGTCACTAGGTGACGGTGGGAGTTGGAAAGGGACCACACCAGGTTTACCTGCTTGTAGCGTGACCCGTTCAGTGATATCTCTTCCTGCTACAAGAACGGGACTGCCTGCAAGAATCATGGCCAAAACGATATTCATCTGCAGGAAAGTTTGTACGAGGGCCATGATTGAAGGACAGCGGTCAACCGATGTTCGACGTTTGGTCTAAATCAAGGGTATGAATTTGAAAGGGAACCTTGTTGAAATTTGACAAAGTTATGGAATATCTTATTCAGAGAGGATCGAATGTGAGCAATAAAGAAAGGGGGAACCATTCAATGTTCCACAAGGAATTAAGTGACATTTATTATTATTATTATTATTATTATTATTATTATTATTATTATTATTATTATTATTATTATTATTATTATACTGAGCTGCCACTTAATATTCGTAACTTAACTGCCCTCTATGACTTCAAAGTTGCTCTAAAAACCCATCTCTTTCTAAACAGTGCTATTTAATCGAGTCATTGTAGCGTAATAATTTGTATTGTTTTAGTTTGTTTTATTTTAGTTAAGATAGTTATATGTTTGTGATAGTAATATCTACAGCGCCATGAGCGTCAGAGCCTGGCCGATACCGGCGCTATATACATTTCCATATTATTATGATTATTATTTGTATTTCCCAATATATGGGAATAATTAAATGTTATTAATGTCTAACCCCCTGAAAATGATTACCAAATATAACAAGGCAGTAAGAACCTGATACTGAGCGCTTTCCTGTACAAATCGTAAAGGTTACTCACTTCATTTAATTCACTATTAAAACTACTGATATTCGGTAGTGTTCTCGTATACGTTTTGTCTTGCACACATGCATAATGATAATCCATTTTTATCTTAAACTTGTTATTCTATTTCATATCTTTCACAGCAATTTGTTGATAAATAATAAATGGGAGCAATACTTCTCTCTTACCCCGATTTTCCGAACTGGGTTTGAGGAGGTTCCATGGGTAGAGACAGGGTTTCCGTCATACAACTTTTGGTGAACGACATCTCGTGGGTGTTTTGGGAAACTGTTGAATTTAATTGTAAAAATAAGTTAGCTGATGTAAAAAAAAAAAAAAAAAAAAAAAAAGCTAATCGAATTGTGTCACTAAAATCTCTGAAATATAGAAAAGTATGTATTTGACTTTTGACAAATAGACGTACATGTATATCGAGGAGGAAAGCCCACATAATTATGGAAAAGGAAAAATACCTAGATTAAAAATATTGACCTCAACAATACCATGGGTACCACATCACGTCTTGCTTCACTGTTCTCTAGCTTCTAAGAATCAAGTCCAGGCAGGTAATACATCTGAAAGTGCTCTAATCCTGCCAAAAGGCGAAGTCATGCAATTTACGTGCAATGACCAAATACATTTCGTTATACGAATAAGGTTTCCGTATAATTCAAAAACAAAAATTGACTAGTACCTCTCATTCTCTGATGTTCTGTTAATTGGAGGATCATTTCCAGCATTCATCGATGGAGAAGATTCCTGACAGGAAAAATCAATTAAATCAGAGAAAATGTCACATTAGAATGCTGCGGAACGATATGATATATAAAGACATAACGGCAACAATTAGTTTTGGTCAGCACATATGCTTTAGGATGAATTGGACAAAACAATGAGAAAGACGAAATTCAAAAGTCATGCATGAATTGAACACATTATTAACTGACCTTTGTGTAAAATAGCATTGCATGTAATTTGTTATTCTCTATTTTTAGAATTTCAGTCCATTTTTCATGCATAGGTGTGTTTGAAGCAAAACATATTACAGAATATTCGCCGTAGGGCTATGTACAGAAGGTCATTAATTTCGCTTTCTACGAAGCTATGTTTTTCATCTCTTGTGCAGCAGCATGGAGGGGTGTCCATCCATCATGATCTTGTTCATTGACATTAGCATTGTGATGAACGAGTAATTTCACGATATCCATGTTGCCATTATAGCATCCTGCATGAAGAGGGGACTTGCCGCATTCATTTCTTTCGTTCACATCATATTCATGGGAGACAAGGAGGTTTACCACATCACTATGGTCATATTGTGTTGCGATGTAAAGTGGGGTCAATCCTCCAAACCTGGTACCCTGAGCTCCTTCTGCCAAGAGAACTTTGACAACTTCTAAATGGCCGTTACTGATTGCAGCATGTAATGGCGTCCCACCATCGGCATCTGCTTTGTTAACATCAGATCCCATCTGTATGAGATATTTCATGATTTTCAAGTGGCCTCGAGTAGCTGCACCATGAAGAGGAATCTTCCCGTTGTCACTTTCTTTGTTCATATCAGCGCCATTGGAAATGAAGAATTTGACGATATCTAAATGACCAAATCGCGCTGCGACATAAAGTGGGGTCATTCCATCATATCTGTTTTGCTTCGCTCCTTGAGTCATGAGATATTTCACAGCTTCTAGCTGGTCCTCTTGAACAGCAACATTGAATGGTGTCCAACCCTCGGCATGTGCTTTGTTTACATCCGATCCTTGCTGAATGAGATATTCCATGACTTTCAAGTGGCCTCCACCAGCTGCACCGTGGAGAGGAATCATCCCGTTGTCATCTTTCTCATTCACATCAGCTCCTTTGGAAATTAAGAATTTGACGATATCTAAATAACCAAATCGTGCTGCGACAAACAATGGGGTCATGCCTTTACATCTGTTCTGCTTTTCTTCTTTAGTCATGAAATATTTGACAGCTTCTACCTGGCCATTTTGAACAGCAGCATTGAATGGTGTCCCACCCTCGGCATCTGCTTTGTTAACATCAGATCCTTGCTGAATGAGATATTCCATGACTTTCAAGTGGCCTCCTTGAGCTGCACCATGGAGAGGAATCCTCCCACTGTCATTTCTTTTGTTCACATCAGCTCCTTCCGAAATGAAGAATTTGACGATATCTAAATGACCCAATCGTGCTGCAATATAGAGTGAGTTCATACCATAACATCTGTTCTGCTTTGCTTCTTTAGTCATGAGATAGTTGACGGCTTCAAGATGGCCATATTGGACAGCAGCATTGAATGGTGTCCAACCCTCGGCATCTGCTTTGTTCACATCAGATCCTTGCTGAATGAGATATTCCATGACTTTCAAGTGGCCTCCAGTAGCTGCACTATGGAGAGGAATCCTCCCATTGTCATTGCTTTTGTTTACATCAGCTCCTTTGGAAATGAAGAATTTGACGATATCTAAATGACCAAATTGTGCTGCGACATAGAGTAGGGTCATTCCATCATGTGTGTTCTGCTTCGCTCCTCTGGTCATGAGGTATTTGACGGCTTCGAGACGGCCATATTCAACGGCAGCATGCAATGGAGTCCACCCAGTGCTTGTTTCCTTGTTCACATCACACCCTTGCTGAATGAGATATTCCATGACTTTCAACTGGCCGCGAGCAGCTGCATCGTGGAGGGAAATCATCCCTTTTTCATCTTCTTCATTAACATCAGCTTCTTCATCAATGAAGAATTCGAGGACGTCTAAATGACCAAATTGTGCTGCGGCATAGAGTGGGGTCATTCCATCATGTGTGTTCTGCTTCGCACCTTCAGCAATGAGATGTTTGACGGCGTCTAGATGACCATATTGAACAGCCACATTGAATGGCGTCCAACCCTCAGCATCAACCTTGTTCACATCGGACCCTTGCTGAATGAGATATTCCATGACTTTCAAGTGGCCTGCAAAAGCTGCACCGTGGAGAGGAATCATCCCATTGTCATCTTCTTCGTTCATATCAGCTCTATTGGAAATGAATAATTTGACGATATCTAAATGACCATATCGTGCTGCGACATGGAGCGGGGTCTTTCCATCATATCTGTTCTGCTTTACTCCTTTAGCCATGAGGTATTTGACGGCTTCTAGATTGCCATATTTGATGGCAGCATTGAATGATGTCCACCCAGTGTTATCTTCCTTGTTCACATTAGCTCCTTCTGCAATGAGATTATCTATGATACAAGTATAGCCACCGGATGCTGCTGTATGAAGAGGAGTCTGACCCAGCTCACACTCAACACTTACGTCCGCTCCTTGAAGGATGAGGAAGTCAACGATGTGTGCATGTCCTTCATGAGCCGCTGCATGAAGAGGACGGAGTCCATCCTTACTTGGTTTATTTGGGTTTGCTCCCCGTAAAATGAGAACAGAAACATCTACGAGATGACCTTCTAAAGCTGCCTTGTAGAGCGGCGTGTATCCTTCCTCATCCATCTGGTCTATGTCAGAGTTGTTCATTTTTTCATAATAATCATTCATATCAGTCTCTACGATTTCCATGAGTTCTCCTAGCTGCAGAGAAGAAGAATATTCTTCCCATTTTACGCACCTGTCATCAGCAGATGTGTTGGTATTCAAATTTACAAGAGCGCCCTGTGACAGCTCTGTCTTTTCGTCCTCAATATCTGCATTAGGTCGAAGTAATGTAGGAGTATTAGACAGTCCTCTATCTTCTCCATCTGTATGCTCTATCCGTCCTTCATTGTGTTCTGAATCCAAAGCACCGGATATATGTTGTGATGGCATGTTTTGCTTTGGTGTGATCAGTGGTCTACCGGTTCCCTTGGCCCTATAACAAAAGGCATATTTATGGTGTGTACTCGATGTGATATTATGGAACCAAGCATTTAAAACTTGTGAAATCATTTGCGTCATTTTTATTTATTCTTGTTCGAATTCCATTCTAAACGAAAGAAAATTAAATGTAAACAATAAATTTTAACCTAATTTGTGTGTATCATAACTTGAATTTAAACCAAAAGTAATACAATGATATGCGATTTAAAGTAAGCAATATGATAGATGATGTCATTTGTGACTGAAACCATCTTCGGAGAAGGAGAACAACAGAGATGGGTGGGGGGGGGGGGAGTCATTTAGTTTCATGTATGGGATGTTACATTTTAAGTCCATTGCCGCATATCGATACATCATTAAAAGTTTATGTATCTGCCCGATTAGAGTATAGTGTTTTTTTAAGGAAGTTGAAAGCATATTGATGCATTCTTAGATATCATTTGGTAAGAGACAATGTGAGATTCTTCATTAAAATGTAATATCAAAATGGTAAAATAAAGGCGAATTCAGTCTTATCATTAATAAATGGCGTAATGAATAAAGGACGATATCAAAGTTTTTCATATTAACGGTTTGTGTGCGTTATGAAATCAACATTTTATTAAGGGGTTTTGTAAACATGTATTTAACTGAGCGTATAATTTTCAGAAAAAGAATGAAATCTTATAGAGAAGTAAATGGATCATGCTCAATTTTTTCAGCAGGAGGACAAAGTTACTATAAAGGTTTTAGTACTGAAACGGGAAATCAACTGTTTGTCTAAAAATGAACTCCATGTGGGACAAGCGCAACATGACTAGTTGCAACGATTATCCAAGTATAATGAATGGTTACAGATAATGGTGGTTCAAATCAAAACAAAATTCATGTCCGATGTTCATGGAGAAGAATAAAATGTGAAGGCATAAATACATCTGTCATGATCGCGTCATTCGTTCTACTTTCTATTAAAAAAACAAGAGTTATCGTATTCGACATCCCCCTTCCTCTCTCTCTCCTTCTTTCTCTCTTGCTCTCTCTCTCTCTCTCTCTCTCTCTCTCTCTTTTTCTCTATCATTCTCCATATATTTTGCTGGGCACTCTTTTCTACTTCTTTATCGTTATCATCTTTATCATCTCAAGGAATTGTTCATCACTTTAGCATCACTTTAACCTCATTCCAATTTATTTACTGATATATACACTAGCGATATGCTTTAACGCTAGTGTTATTTCCCGAATACAAGTTATGCTTATCATTAATAACAACTATTTATTGATTTACCACAACCACGGGCTACGCTTTACTTGTTTTTATACGTTTAGATGATGATTGATTTGAGAAAAAAAACTTACGTTTTCTGATCTTGAATTCCTACGTCACCATCAGCGTCTTGAGGAAGGCTCTTCTCATTTTCAGTCCCTTGTTCAAACCCGCAAGTTTTCTTAGTATCCTGAACAAAAAAACAAAAAACAAACAACAATATCATCACAGCTAATGATGTCATAATTTCACAGGGGTTTGTCTCTTCAATGATTAATCGTTTGTACATAACTGAGAGTAGGGAAACAATATGACATCACCTGGAACGAATTCGGATATTCGTGTTAGCTAATTCATGCAGTTGCCCCTTTAAACTGAGAAAACTTTGTAAACAAAGCCCAACGAAGCAAGAATTCATTTCCATATATTTGCCCAGGATAGTTTTTTCCAAAAAAATATTCCCAATATATTTGACCATTTAGATTTATAAAGGTTGTATTAACTAATACCTGATATATAATTTGTGACATTTTTTATTTTTGTAAGAGATATATTATGACATACTTTTGGTTCCAATTCAAAATAATGAACACGTGTGTTTAAAAAGAACAAAACCCAGTTTCACATTTTAAATTTAAGCAGCAGCGTAAACCTCCAGCCGACCAAAATGCTCCGGAGACCACTGGCACTGATAAATAACTCCCGACAAGTGATTGTCGGGCGTCCACGGCTGGTCGTATCTCTAGTGTAAGGCTTTATCTTAGGCTCTAAAGCATCGGTTCCTCTCTAACTTTATTTCACAGGTTATGAAAAATATTCTAGATAATTACCGCGATGACAATTCTCCCACTAAATACTATATAGAGTACCCCCAAAAAATATATCTCACTTTATATTCTCAGAGAGCTAACGAGGGGGCAATCAGTCAATGAGGGAGTTGTGCGGAGCTAATTATCAGGGATTTAATTATTACGGGGTTGTTGTCCAAGTTGATTATCTCGGGGGGGGGGGGGGGTTGTTCGTCATGGTTTTCCGAGACTCAGTGCATCGTTTTACGAAACCGCCATAGTTCACCGACAACCCAATGAAACGCATGTTAAATGTAATACATACGTTTCAATGGGCTGTCGGCGAACTTGCTCTCATGAAAAGCTACCTTGGCAATAACGATAACAAGGAAAAAATCCCGAAACTGCGACGAACTGTCATCTCTCAATTTCCAAAGCTGCTAAAATAATTCATAAATTTGGTTCTAAGTCACTTAGATACTTAAAGAATATCTATTTAGAGAAGACTGAACAATTATACATTTTGAATTAGATCATATGGTTATTTATGGGTTACCTCATTTAAAATTTATAATTGAATTTGATATAAAATAAGGGCAGGGTTAATGAGAGAAACGGATCAGTGAAAATCTGAGGAATATCCGACAAAAGGAGTAGAAACCTATCAATATTTAATTTGGTTTCAATCACAAACTATGTCATCTAAGGCCATTTTTTTCCTGATTAAATCAATGAAGTTCTATTACAGAGTTTGTTGATGGTTAAAACACTTTTAATAATATATTTAGAACATAGGTATAAAACCACCATATCTTTTTATTTGGTTAAATTGGAAATGATTTTTTTTTTTGTACAGGACCACTAATTGGGGTGCATGCATGATAAATCATAAGGAAGCGTCATTGTGATAGAATAATTATACATTTTTTAAAAAAAACTTTTAATGTTCTTATCTTTCGTTCGATTTGAAACATTCATCACGTAGACAAGTGGATATATCACCGGACTGTGGATCACAAGGTCCGCGGTTCAAGTCCCACCGCGGCACCAATGTCCTTTGTCAAGACATTGATCTACATTTTCCACTCTCCACTCAGGTGTTAAATGGGTACCAGGTAGGATGCGAAAGCTAATGTGCTTAGATTAGCAAGAGTGCGCTTGTAAAAATGACGCCTGGCTGGAATGCTCCCCAGGGAGTGGAGAATGTGCATACATTGTGTGCGGGTAAGCCTGAATCCGATGACCGGGGTAATGATATGACTGCTGAGCCCTCAGGGAGAACAGTATGAATACTGATGAGGCTACCCTGGGTAAACAAGCCATATTATTATTATTATTTTTTTTTTTAATGTATATTTTGTTACTTGAGCCACTTTAATATGACAGTGAACTGTCTCTATAGATTGCGGCTCAGAAGCAATGTCCGGCGCGTCAGACGACTTGAGTGGGAGATATTCTTTGTAAATGCTTTGAAATATCAGGAGTGAGAACGTCAAGTCTATAAACCTCATAAATATTCATGAAATATCAAAGATAACTAGATACGATATCATTTCTATAAGACTTTAATGAGTACACCTTCTAAAATGCCTTAGCAAAAAGATACATTTTGCTTACCTCGACTCCATCTGTTAATGATGATCCTGGACCCATCTCCTCGCCTTCCGTGTTCACCCCCATATTGGAAAGGAATCGCAATGCATCAAGCTCTGCTTATCTGGGAGCCTCGGTCATTTCTGTTTAGTATAGGGAAAAGATGGTAGAATCAGGGGATTAGTGTTAATTTAAATGCACTGCGCAAACTATAAATATTGAGGCCTAGAACAATTTTTTAAAGCAAGACCTCAGGCGGAACAACCCTATGCCTAACAATATCGTCTTGTAATAAGCTCCTTTTTCCTCCGTGCCAATACCATCTTCTGATCCCATATTTATGTTTTTGATAGAGTATCATTTGAAACAAACAAACGAATCATAACAAAGAAAATGTCACATGAAACATATTTTTTATTAGTGACGATTATCTGACTTTTTTTGGAATACATTTTGTTGTATCTTCTTCGAGGTAGATGCAAACTCATGACTTGAATCTATTATTTTCGGATAGTATTGCTTTAAGTCTTACACTAATATTCATTGTTTTTGTCTTCTTCTCTTTATTCAACAAGTAAGACAATTGTTTCAGCATTGCAGATATAATCATGTATCAGTGGAATCTAATGCAGTATACTACTGCTGAAACAGTAAGCATGAATGGTATTTACGAGGGATAACTCGATAGCTCAGTCGGTAGAGCAGTGGTCTTGTAATCCGGTGACCCGGGTTCGAAACCAAGGCGATGCGTTAGTGCCCTTTGGTTAGGCATTAATCCTCATTACTAGGTCCCTCGGAGAGGACCTAAAGCCGTCGGCTGTCTGGTTGCTAACTTACAAGCAGTCAGGTAAAATAACCACCACCACCAAGTTATTTCATAATTAATCTTATAATCTAGAAAATTGAATATCACTATAGAAAGTAACGAATGATGGGGGGGGGGGGTAATAATAATAATAATAATAATAATAATAATAATAATAATAATAATAATAATTAATTTTTATATAGCGCTTAAAACAAATGTCTCTAAGCGCTTTACAAACATACTATTACCCCGGTCATTGGATTCAGTGCTTGCCCGCACACAACGTGTGCACAATCTCCACTCCCTGGGGAGCATTCCAGCCAGGCGTTACATGACGCTCAAAAACTGTTTGACCAACAATGACGGTCGCATCCTACCGGGTACCCATTTAACACCTGGGTGGAGAGTAGCAAGTGCAGGTTAATATCTTGCCAAAGGATATTAGTGCCGGTGTCGGGATTCGAACCCTCGACCTTCGCATCTCCAAGTGCAAGCGCCTTAAACCACTCGACCACGGGTGGGTGCTTGTGCATGTATGTGTGTGCGAGTATGTGCGCGTTTGTGCGTGTAAAAAGATAAGTCCTTGTTATGACCAGATCCATAAAATTGATTTTTTTTTTTTTTTTTTGTGTGACTTTTATTGTCAAAGAGTTCGGTCCAATTGATCTTGTCTGATTGGTACACGTCTGCAAAACGCAATTTCATGCTCCCATATGCATATCCATGCTCCTACATTCATAGACACACATACATACACACCACTTATCCAATGATATGAAGGCTGGATCTCAAAAGAAGGGAAACGTAACGCATTGAAATGATACTGTTACGTTGTTTTCATACGCAACTGGGTTTATCATTAACAGTAAGTTATTATGACCAATGGTAGAGATCTGTGGAGCGTTTGTGAAAAACACGCCCTCGTAAAATACATTCTGAAGAGGGTAATTTCAACGGAAGCTTGTCTGACATTATTTTTCGAACAAAGTTGGCCGTTGTTTCAACTCTTTGACAAACTTTTATTGCGCTTGTTAATTTCCAATTAACTGAAATAAATTAGATGGCCTAAACTGGCTTATTGTTGCAGTAGTCGTCTCTCTCTCTCTCTCTCTCTAGCTCTCTATTCCCCTTCCTCTCTCTTTCTGCCTCTCGGTCTCTTTGCCTCTCTCTCTCTCTCTCTCTCTCTCTCTCTCTATCCCCCTCGCTCTTTAGCTCTCTATTCCCCTTCATCTATCTCTGTCTCTCTCTCTCTCTCTCTCTCTCTCTCTCTCTCTGTATTATGATGCTCAAACATTATGAGGAGAAATTAGCCTCAAGTGAGCTTGGTAACAGAAAAAAGAAAGAGAAATGGGAAAATCGGGGGAAAACCGAGAAAATGTGGACAAAGAATATGGAAGTTGCAAACCCATAAACATATCTATTGATATGGAGCTACTCCTATTGAAGAGTCGGTCGCGGTGGGTGATGTTTTTTCGACACAACTTCTCGATTCTTTTGTAATAAATCAAATTCCTCCTTTTTAATTTGTTTATTGGAAAGGGAACGTTTTCGTTTGAAATTCTATAACGCAGTAGATGTATATATGAATCACAGCAATATATAATATGACATTACTTATCAGATCATAAATGGTAGGAATACCTTTGTATCTTTACTGTTTTTTAAATGCCACCATACTTTATTTTCTGTGTCTTCTTCTTCCACAACTTACAAAAAGGAATTTTAACATACGCCTCCCAAACTTAAACAGGTACCCATTTTACTTCTCATTGTTTTTGTTGTCAGTCATCAGTTTCGTTGTCAGTGAAATGCGAAGTTGCTCAGTCTGCTATTTATATTAAACATTGATATTCTTACATCATTTAATTCAAACATCTAGGTATATTGTCGTATTGCCGTACTGTCATTAACATCAACACAATCTTTCCCTACTTATGATACCTTCTGATTGATCTGAAGATTGTCGTTGTTTTTTTTAAATAATGTGTAAGTACTTGGCTCTCAAAACTTTAAGTCCAAGGTATTTATGTAAGTTAAATCCAATTGATAATATATGCCGAACATCTTTGATAGATATATAACGATGTTCGGATAAGTGTTACTTTGTCTTAACGTTATACCATCATCGTTTTTCGCTGGTACTTTCTCTCCTCTTCTTCACTTTTGTTTTCTTTAGGTTGAAGAGAGTACCTAGTGTTTCTCCATAACAAGGGATTTGTTATGCTGAACCCATATGGAATAACTCCTTGTTATAACCAGTTCCATAAACATGAATATTGACTTCTTGTGAAGGTTACTGTCAACAAGTTTGGTCCCAATACACGATTGATCACGTTTGATTGGCACACGTCAGTAAAACCCGATTACACTACCTACATTCACACACAAACACACACACCTACACCCACACCCACAACTTTTCCCTATGTTGTGAGGCTTTACACATTTTTGTTTTTCTTGTTTGTGTGGTTTGTTCTTAGGCTGGATCTCAAAGAAGAAAAACGCAAAACCTTCAAGTTATATTGTTATGTTGTTTACGCAGCAAGGTTCAGAACTGAAATTAAATCATTTTGGTCGATGGTAGAGATCTGTTAAGCTTGGGAGAAAAAAACATGTCCTTGTAAAATAATTCATGAGAAGAGAATGTCAATGGAAGTTTGCTCGACATTGTGTTTCGATCAATGTTGGTCATTGTTACAACTTTTAGACATAGCCTTTTGCGCTTGTGTATTGACTTCTGAGATTACAATGTAGAGTTAGTGAAGACTGATAATGATTTCATTTTGAACAACTATGTACCATTAATTTAATTGGAAATCCAACCCAATGGATATCTACTCTAAAAGAAAGAAGAACAATCAGAGAGGCAAACTGGTAAAAGTTTCAATTCAGTCGTGCTATTAAAAATATAAGAAAATTAGGCATTTTTGAAAGTTGTAATTCCCTATACGTATGGGCACTTTAAAGATAAACTGGAGTTCTGGTTTAAAAAAAAAAATATAAAAAAATCACAGAATCAAACCAAACTTACACTGAATGTTCAAGAATACAAATAAATGTCATTTGCCAAACAATTTTGGTAGAAAATGTATAATAGCCAAGTAATGAGCATAGAAAGATAAGAAAATCAATGTGTCGGGCCCCGATGACATTTGTGTAGTCCAATATACATCTTTCTGTGTACAGTGCTTGTTACTTTACCAAAACTGGGCCAATTTATCATGATTTTGATGACTCCAGAACATTGCAGTACACACCAATGTAATCAATGTATCACCGAATTATTGCATCAGGGAGGAAGAAGATTATAACGCTATATCGAAATTATGTCCTAATTATTTTTAAATATTTTCCTTGATCTTATGGGAGGAGACATTTCATCTTAAAAACCGTATTTACCCGAGATTTCAAGTGAAGAGTGTTCCATAAATTAGCAATGGATTGCTATTTTGGAATTGACCATGAGGAAATACATTTACTCGATTTTACGATCGATCAATCTATCGTACAGTCAATTGCTAAGTTTTGTGGTGGTTACAAGTCCCTAGAGTTGTTAAACAAAGCGTAAACGCGATCGTCTAACAAGTGTTGACTAATCTTAGTCAGAAGGGTAAATCTTGAAAAGTCATATTATCTCTTGGCGCACCCTAAAACGAAACATTTCCCATGAAATGCTTTGTAAAGTCATAGTCATAGCGATGTCAGCATACATTTCAATACATATTTATTGTTTTGTCAGTCGGAAGAACTTTTTGTGATGCAAATCATATATTTGTTGCTGTAACCTGCGTCATTATGTAGAGGACATTTAAAGGGCCCATGACATCGAAATACAAGTGTATTCCTGTTGATGTGCAGTCCTGCATACATCTCATATTTTGATATGTAAACCTCTGAATTTGCTTCCTAGATTTTGAAATATTTGTTTTTCAAACTAGCTAAGCTCCACCCCAAAAACCTCCAGATCTCATTCCCCTTGTGACATCATCTGTCAGTCATCAATGAGCTAACTTGAGAAAGTGGCATGTAACTTTGCCAAAGTTGACCACCTGTTACAATACCACAAACAATAGCAACATTTAAAAGCCCTTTAAACTCACGTTTTCCAAAGGGCATTTACGTCAAGATCTCCGGCGAGGACAAAAAATGGCGACACCAAGTAACGGTAGGATCGTGAAGAAATGACCTTTTATAATTTGATTTATCAAACAACGATGAAAAAGATCTGAGATTTTCTTAGTTATTTCAAATGATATTATATTTTTTAAATATACAAATATTATTTTTGGACTTTCATTCTCCTTTTAACAGCGATAGAGAAAGAGAGCAATGTCT